ACACACACACACACACACACACACACACACACACACACACACACACATAAGGTGGGTCAGTGGAATAACACGTACAGTATTATGGACAAAGACAAGAGAAAGACAGTCAGAAACACTGAGATAAGAAAGTGACATACAGTGGAAGAAGAGGTCAAGTAAGACTTCCGTTTAAGGTTTGAAGAGCAGCTAGAAGGTTATGACCAAACCCACCAACACACACACACACACTCACACACACACCCTGAGGTCCATCTTTAAGCATCACACACAAAGCACATGACAGCTATTTACTTTGCCTCAGATACAGTGTGCATTTGTGTTTGTAAATTTACCTTGTGAACCAGAGCTGCATCAGATCGTTAAGTTCTCAGGTGGAAATGGAACATAATTTACTAAATGAACATCACGCTGTGTTGAAGACTTAAACTAGAGATCGAGACCATAAGCTCATGTTTACAATGTTTACTGAGGTAATAAATCAAGAGAGGAGTAGAGTCATTTTCTCAAAGACTTCTATACAATTGGACTTCTTTTTACAACCAGAGGAGTCGCCCCCTGATGGCCATTAGAAAGAATGCAAGTGTAAGGCACTTCAGCAATGGCTGCAATTTTCAGACCCAGAGATTGCCTGGTCTGGTGTGTTACTGTGTCTGCCTGCAACCAAAACAGTTGTGGACCTGAGAAGCCAAACAAGCTAAAAGACACTAAAACAGCAAAGAGTTTGGTTATGATTATCTGCAGGTTCATCATCCTGAGCTTTCTCATTACACACAGTCATTTGTTAATATAAAAACAACGATCAGTGCAGCTTTAACACCCAGCGTTGGAAGTTATTCCTTTTCATCGGGAATATTTCAAGCTCAAAGCCAAAAACTGAAAAAACATCTAAACTACATGTCAACAAATGTCAAAAGCCTGCGCTCTTTCTATTTACAGTAAACATGAAGACAGACAGACCAGGACCCAAGCACCCGGAGGGATTATAGGCCGACATGGACTCGCTGTCTGACTCAAAACTGTCAGCCCTCCAAGTTCATTTTCAGAATAAGATCTCAAAAAACCATAGTGTGTCTCCATGAAGTCTTTCGTGACTACTCAGTGAGTGGAAAAGCTCCAGAAAGTGCCACTGCAACTCATAAGTCACTGCAGTCCTCCTTGACCGCATTCCTGTGCGTGGAATGCTCTTTAAAAGTGGACATTTTCAGGTTTTTGTGTGCACGTCTCTGTTAGCGGGCCATCTGTGGTTCTTTTCAGTGGGGAGATGACCGGCCAAAAAAACATTCTGAAATTGCTAAAACGGCACTATCATTAAATGCTCATTTGTCATACTTTGCTGACTGTGCTTTTTGCCCACATTATAGGCCGGCGAGACTAAATGAATAGTTTAGGCTTTTTTTAAAGGGACATTTCCCTTATCACGAATTGGCACTGTCCATCTAAAAAGTACTCATTTCAGCGAACTGTTCTAACGGACAGTGCCGTTTGGAAGCTTATGGTGACATTCTGAGCGACTCAGGCTGAAACCACAAACGGCAGGTCAGCGGCAGACAATTAGAGGATACAGAGGGAGAAAGAGGAAGACGGTAAGAAAGAATGAGGATTAAGGGAGCGGGAAAAAAATACATTGCACAAAAGGGGACTTTTATTTAGTCATAATTAGATTTGATCATGAGATGGTTTTTATCTTCATGGTCACATGAGGAGAAAAGTCACCCTCACACAGCCGGAAGGTTCCTTTATAAAGCCCAAATCGTGCACACAGTTTGGCTGTGGACAGGGGAATTCCCTCGCCATGTTACTCCAATACTGTTTGTTTAACAATCGCACCACCAACTGGAGTCAAGAAGCTGTGGATTCAGTCGTGTTCCTGAGGGCGGTGATGTAGCGCTGCAATGTTATACATTGAGTTCTTTTGCAAGAGGTCTTACTGTGTATATGGAGAAGTTGCGTAGAGCCTTTTGTGTCTCCAGAGGGAGCTGTGTAAAAGCCTACAGACCCATAAAGTAATAGGAATGCAATGCTAAATTGGTGGAGTACTCTACCTGGTCGCTGTCACTGTCTATTCCCTCCAGACTGATGGAGCTGTTCCTCTGAGCCTGATTCAGAGATGCAGAGAGAGAGAGAGAGAGAGAGAGAGAGAGAGAGAGAGAGAGGGGAAAGAATGAGAATAGCAGTGTTAGCGGTGCCGTCTGCACATCGCATTCAGGTGGACCACAGGACGGGACGTTACTCAATCAAAATGTGTTACCATGACTGTGTGAAGCGTCGTGTATTCGGGCGGACTACAAGGCAGGCCGTCGTCCTCAGACATGGCTCCGGCGTCGTCCGTTTTCTTCACACACATGAGGGATGGAGGGGAGCCCAGCCTGATGGCCTGCCTCAGCTGGAGCTACAGGGGGAAACAAAATATTTGTCTTTGTATGAGTGTATTATCTATTGGGATCAAAAAAATGATTGATTGGCCACACTTGTAGATATTACAGCAGGAAGCAAAAGAATTCTCCAGGTTTTGTGGGTGGCCAAATCTGTCGGCCTGTTTAATAAACTACAGCTTTACAAAAAGGTAACAAAAGGTGTGTTTGAGTACACCTTTTTGTGTGTTTACAAAGTTTCCCTGCTTTTACAGTCCCAAAATCCCCACTGGTGTGGAGTATGATTAACAGAGAACGACGTGTGGGGACAGTCGGCTGGCACTCAAGAGGGAAAGTGTTTATTTTAGGTGGTTTCTTTGGCAGGTATCGCAGAAACTCAAACTAACAGACCTGTTATCTGTTACGTGTTGCCCTGTAACAGTTACTCAAGGACTCAGACTCGGGTGCAGAGCAAACAGAGGACAATACAGCTTTTCTTTAGCCGGGCTGCACGCTGGCACACACCAAGACCTTGACAGAAAAACACCGGCCGCTGCAGCTTTATGACGTTAATGATAATATTGTTACAGTAACTCGAACACATGGAGAAACAGAGAGGAGCTCCAACTAAAATAAGGACATAGGAGTAGCTTCCCTCTCCATTAGCAGTTGTGTTGGGAAGCTCAACTTGCTAGTACATGAAATTGCTAATTTTGAGCTTAAATGAGTTCAACATTTTGTGTTAAAGACATTTATATCATTTATATTTCTTTTTTGAGGTACCTGCACATCAACTTTGTGTTTTAGCTACAGGAGAAAGTTTCCCTTTTTGGCAAATCCTTATAAGATGTTTTAATTGTTTTAATTCTCACTCCCCTGTAGGAAGCTTAGTGGAGCAGTTTAACTGGAGGTCAGTCTGTCTGTCCGTCGGGGTATCACATCTTCCCGTTTTAGCCCGTTGTTGTGACAGACATTGGTTCTGTCTGTCTGCTTTTCTTTTCATCAGCCGCTCCTTCATTTTGCTTTGACAGACGCTTCAGTTTTAACCTCCCTCAGTGATACTCATCAGCTCTGCCCGTCTGAATGGATACACTCCGGATCAGCTGCTCCGTCTCTCTTTATCACCTCCTTTATTGATAATACGGTTCAGCACAAGGTCATAGACACTCTCACGGCCAGACATACAGATTGTGATTGTGTATTTGTCTATTATTCCTCATTATTCTGCCATCAAATCCTCTTCTCTGCTGCTTGTCTCCACATGCCAAGTCTTTCTCCAGGAAGAGACTAAGATACTTGTTGACACAGGAGCTCAAACTTGGCTCCTTGGATTGAACGATATCTCAAACAACAAGGGCATGTCGAATACTTATGTGTATTTACCTGTAGTGATTTCACTTTCCCATGAATGCTGTCCTGAGATGCTCCCAGAGCCTCTTTGGCCTCCGACGAGTCCGAAACAAAGATGGAGTCGTGTGACAAGGCCTTGCTGCCCAGGCTGATCTTTGACCTTTGGGAAACAGGAAGAAATAAACAAAGCAGAAGGTGATGTTTCGCAGACAACTATAAATAAAGACGACTGGATGTTGAGAGGCCCCGGTGTGTCAGTTGTTTAATAACAAACACCATTGACCCACAATCATCTACCCCACTAGAGTGGTTTCTCTTCTTTTATCAAAGAAAATGATTTAAAAATAAAATCGATACTCTCTTTTTCTGCTTTTGTTTGTCGATTGTGCAAACTCCCCTAACGACTAGGAGGAGGAACACAGAACAACTTCGATAAAATTGGAGCAGACATATCCTGCGACACCGAGGAAAAGTTAAGAGTAGACGAGGCAGGAAGTGGCACAGCTTAGGGAAACAAAGGAAATTAGGACTGTCCACAGGAAGACACATTCTGCTTCTTGTTACGAAAACAGGAAGCTGAGGCTCAGCTGAGGAAGGACGGGAAATGGATGTTAAAACATGATCTTCCTTTCTTAAATTATGTTTTTCACACAAGAGGAGGCATTTATCTAAATGGACAGAGGAACCAACCGACTGTGTAGGAACATAATACTGGGCTACAGGAAAATGAAATTGGCATCTACTAGCGGCGGCTATGTTTTGTTGGTGAAGCTCTTAAAAACACTTCCAATAAGTGGTGGCTGAATAAAATACAGGAAGGTTTAGGGATATCTTTGAAAAAAATAAGGTGATATTGCCAGAACTGAATTGATATCCATTTGGGTGGATCAACTGGTTTTTTTAAAATGCAAAATGTAGCCTTAAACAAACCATTCCCGTATAAACCACAAAGAAGTATTTAAATCCGTTTTTAGTCCCGTTGACTGGTACTTAACATGTGTATGTAACTAGGTCAATGTTTGAATAAGAGTTATCGTGTGCTCTTTGTGTAAGTATGCATGTGTCTGATCTTACCCAGAGCCCTTATCCTTCTCTGATCGAGTGAGCGTGTTATTTTGGGATGTTTTGCTGACATTGTCGCTCGATCGGCTGGCTTTAAGCCCCGCGTCTGCTCCAGCGGCCGGCGTCTCCTTTCTCTTCTTCCTGGCGAAGAATTTTTTAAACGTCTGGAACTTGGACTTCTTCTTTCCTGTGAAGGCAAAAATGACACAAAATAAACCAAATGAAAGAAACTGGTTAAAGTTACCCTCCCCTGACAGCACTCTATATAACTACCTGCCCAGTGATATGCTAATGAGACAATTACACACACAGCATCTTTACACACTGCCCTCGTATGAACTCTAGTTTGAGCAATTAGTTGGCTGTAAAGTCCCAGGTAGGCATCCCTGGAGAAACTACACACCAACACTGATGTGTGTTTACACAGAGACGCACGTAAAGACAGACACACACACTCCTCTGCTTGTAACCCCCCCCCCCCCCCCCAGTGAGTCCACCTCCATTAGCACCGCAGTGGAAAAACTCAACAACTCTTTTATAACTCCTTAAACAGCTACAAAGTGCTTTCACTGCTTTCAGTCAGCAAGGCGCTCATCCAGAACTTGAACTGCCCCCTGGTCCTCTCTCTGTCCCACAATCAGCAGGGCCGTAGGCTGTCTCAACACATAGACCTTCAAACTCCTGGACCAGTTACTCAAACTGGACTTTCTGGATCTATTTAATGTCTAGCTGGTACCTGAAGCAACAGGCTGTGTTCGGCCCACTAAGAGTGTACAGCCATTTAGCACGATCATGCTTTGAGTTTACGCCAACATCAGCATGCTAAAATGCACACAGTGACAATGCTAACATACTGATGTTTAGCGAGACAACATACCAGCATCGTAGCTTATCAGTTTAGCACATTAACATTTGCTAATTAGATCTAAACACATGGTACAGCTGAGGTTGATGTCATTAGTTTAGCAGGTATTGTAGCAGTCCCGGTCCAAAAAACTTCAACCTCTGGAGACAATGAATGTCTGAACAAAATGTCATGAAAATCCATCCAATTGTTATTGATAGTCTAGAGACCAACGTGGACCAACTGGCCTTGTGGAGGGATTGTAAATAAACATTGAAATACAGACGAAATCCAAAGATACTCATCCCAGATGGAAACTTCCTTATTGTTGCAAAAACTAATTTGGAGTATCTCCGGTGGAGAAATGATCGTATATATTATCCTAGCGCACGGATAAATGATGAGTTGTGACACAAAACAGAAGGAAACAAATTCATATCCCTGGGTCATAAAAATGCTTTTGGAGAGACACATTCTTTCTACACAAGCTTTGTAATTTCTGTCTTTCTCCCTGCGGGGAATCCTTCAGCATTCCTTCCTTTCTCTAAATATACACTTTCTGGTTGGAAATAAATCACAGTGAAAAAATGTCTGGAATCTCAGCCTGGTACAAGACGCTTAAGATTTCTGGGTCATTTGCTAAAGACCACGTCACGCTTATTTTTTACGCTCCAAATTTTACATTTTGTATCATACGTACATATACAAGCCGCTTGCTTTCTTTTCTTTTGAGATGTCATGTGTGTTATTTGATACATATCATACAAAGCATCACAAAAATTAAGTGCAAAATCAAACTGCAGTCACAAACCGTCTGCATGGAGGGCTAAATAGAGCACCTGCCACAGTATTTTGATGAGTCGCCACAAATCAGAGATAGACGATTTCTATGAAGAAATGTTGGCTGCAAATTCTCCCCTCTTCCGTCTGTTCTGCTCTGCTTCCAACCAGCTTTTCGTGATGCCTCAGAGGCCTTTCTGCACTGCCAAGATGAAAAATCAGGGGGAAACACCAGCCGACGGTGCCATTTATTGTGCTATTTTAGGCACAATACACTATTAAGTTAAAGGTCTGCACTCAGAGAGAGGAAAAAGGCCACTGCCTCAATGGAAGGTCAGTGGAGCTCCATGGTCATTGTAGCTCTGAGATACTTTCACATAAATTCTCTCAGTAAAAAAACATGACTAAATTCATATATTAAAAATAACATCATGGCGATTTCAAGGCAGTTTTATTAGAGGGTATGACCTCGGCTTACACAATGAGAAGATGGTGACCTTTGACAGGGAAACAGTGTCATGGGCAGAGCGAGAAAGAGGAGAGGGAACCTAAAACATCTCTACATTGTTTTGGGGTCAGGTCATGGTGGTTGTCAGGAGAGCTGGATGGATTCTAAAAGCAACATTTGTTATTTTGTCCCAGAAATGACACGAGAAAGAGGAAGATGAGGAGGTGGGGAGAGGAGGGAGGGGTCTGCGGTATTCTTGTGCTCTAAATGTATAACTAAAGAGAACAGGTCGATATATTGTCTCAATTATTGTCAGCATGTGTACGTTTTGTGTGTTATGTGCGAGTTGTATTACGATGATTTTGTTAGAATATATAAGCTAAACTTTAAAGGCCCTGACAACACATATCTTTAAATCAGCCTCTTACAATGAGCAATGGGGTCCTACAGAAAACACACATGTTTTCTGCCAAAGGTAGTATTTTGCACGAGAGATTTCAGTACAAGTGTTCCTCTAAAAGTTATAGCCAAATTCATACCCACTGGAGTTATGTTATTGCAATTCAACACCAGTTTTATACCGATTTCTTTCCGAAGTAAGTTTAATGAGTGATACATGAACATAAACTTTGACTCTGATTTATGCTTGTTTGCAGACTCCTGCCATGAAAGGAGCAGGCCTAAATGTGTATCACTTCTATTTACAGACTCCAAACCTCTCAAACTGCAGATCCAACTAAAACACGGCCCATTAAACTGGGCACCAATCAGCGATAAGCTGCTGGTCTGGCACCGACACCGGCTCAACCCCAACAGATTGTTATGAACATGACAGACATCATGATCTGTGGAGTCACGCCTGATGTTCAGCTCTCCCAAATAGAAGTGACTCACCAAACCTAGTGGTCTGTTTCCTGCAATAATACAGTTACACTGAAATATCAGAATTAAAAGATGAGCTAGTTTAGAAATGTTTCCACATTGTTGGACCGTCCAATAATCTTAACAGCACCAAAATCCCTGCTGTGCCTTCACATCACTCTGACCTCCCAATGCACTTCTTCTTTGTTTCCATAATATCAGCAGCATGAGTGCTGTCCATCTGTATCGACAGCGTGCATCTGGGCTTTGTGTGCGTTTGTGTGTGAGAGAGATGACGATAGCTTTCGGTGTTCCTTCATTTCCTGCCAACAGCAGCAAGGATCTAGATCTAGATTGTTGAAGACGGCCTGATCTTCTCTGCTGTGTCTGTGTACATATTCTCATTGCTGATATGATGTAGACTTCCCCGTAATACTACCCACCCATTCTGACAATAATATAGTCAGTGATTTTGGTCCAAGCATTTCCTGAGAAACCATTTCGACTTCATAGCACATAGTTTCAGTTGGTTATATTTAAATCTAGCACTTGTGGGTGTTCCTACTAAAATGTACACCAATTAGGTCTAGGTGAAAGAATATACAGGGAGTGACCCATCAAAACCTCAGAAAAAGTTAAACATTTAGTCTTGGGTGTCCCCGATTTTGAAATTCAAACACTACAAATATTCATTTTGGTTGAGAAACTCAGTGACATGAATAAACTACAACCTTTTGGGAAAATGTACCTCTCTCACCGAAATCACGTCACATTTCTTTTAACTGAACATTTAATCAAATTGTTACCTGAGCACTCTTCCACGACCTCAGCAGGCTCCTGATTGGCCATCACATCTGGAGGTCCTGATGCCATGGCAGCGCTGTCACTGCTGCAAGACAGGGAGAGAGATCGATGAGCTCAACTGCTCCTCAATAAATCATTCGTCCAATAATGTGACGATAACACGACTAATTGGATTGATTTATACTGTTTGCACAATACAATATATAATACAAACAATTTTCTTTAGGTAGCCAAAAAGCACAAATTAAGTTATTCTTGCGCACAAATTATTCAATCAAGAGCACAATTTATTTAAATTTTCTTATCCATGACACCTGCCCGCCTCTGGTATTTTGTAACTGTATTTATCTCCTTATTGCTCACATGCCAACTCTTGCAGTGTGATCAGGCTCGCTGGATTACAATGTGATTAAAGTCCCGTTTGGGAGTGACGTGTCTGCCAGTAAAAGTGGCTTGGCATGAGCAGGTGGCAAAATCTGAACTCACACAGGACTGAACGGACAGAGCAAGTTCAATTGAAGGATCACACAGTCGTCTGTAACAAGCCGCTGCCTTATAAAACCATTTTCAAAGCCTGTTGGAAAAACTCCTACATGCATTACCACTGCTCTACCTCTTCACTCCTTAAAAGTTGAGCTGTTATGTTACACTTCAATCCGACCTAAACCCCATCCCCAGTCCAATCCAAACAGTCTCTACAGAGGCATCTCGGCTATGTTTCCAGTGCTCTGCTCTGCCATCCACCTCCGTCCGCCGAAACGTTCACGTCCTGGCACCGACGGATGCCCAGTATCCTCTGACACAAATTCAAACAGACGCGAATTCCCATCACCAACTGATATCTTGTTATTGCTCGGAGAGTGCAGCAGCATCAGGCTGCTAGGTGGACATAACAGCACAAGACGACAGAGGTTAGTATCGGACACATTTAAAAATAAATCAGAATAGCAAACTCCCTGTTTGTTTTTGAGTTTTTAATCAGTTCAGCTCCAGCTTGCTGAACCAGTTAGCTTCTCTCGCATAGAGAGAATCATTAAGTCACCAAGTTTTACATGACTATATTCTAGGCTCACATCTAATTAACTATGTGCTTTACAGAAAATATTTCCTGTGCAGTTATATGCCGATATGGTTTTCAGTAAATTAATATCTCAACATCTCAACATGGACGACAATAAGTTTGAAAACATCCAGCCTCCAAAACAGCAGTTCGGGGCTACTACAAGGCAACACAGATGTGCAGCAATGCAACTAAACAAAAACCCACCTGCCTGCCCTATTTTTCAGAGACCTGGGTGACAGAATTTCATTTAATTTCTCATGTGGTCGGCGCTTTGAAACGCTTCGAAACGCTTTGAAAATACCTCAACAACTATTGGATGGATTTCTACGGAATTTTATACAGACATTCACTGGCCCCAGAACGAATCCTCCAGCGCCATCATCATCATCATCATCATCAATCTGTCCAATACTTTGGTTTATGACTAAACAATGCCAACGGCATTCCCATCAGCCACGGCTGTACTTTGTGTGTAGTGCTAATTGGCTAATGTAAGCATGCTAACGTTGTTACAGACTTGTTATGATGATAGGAAATAAATGCAAATGACACTGATATTAAGAAGGATAAAAGATCATTTCTTGCTTCTATAACAGAGGAACGAAACTGTCTCTGAGCAACTTTTTATTATACGAACTACATGATATTACTAACATCGAGTGATAATATTGCAAGTTACATAATTGTATGCCTCACATGTCACTTAACTGATTGGTTTCAACGTTAAAGCACCAAAATATTTAGCCTAATTGTAAACTAATAGCGACAAGAAGCTCTTAAATATGTTTCAACATGCGGAGATATTTTTGTTATTTCTTCAGTTCCTTTTTAAAAAAAGTTCAAGACCGCCATGTTGTCCACGTTTGCTGTTAGTGTGTACTCGCTCTTCCTCTCCATTAAGGAAGCGGCTGGAGAGCTTCTTGTCTACTGTGTTTACAGTGAGTTTGTGTTCAAGAAACAGATGGAACATTCCAGAGGGTTTGTTGACGTGCTGAAGGGCTTTCGTCAGTGTTACCGTTACGCAACCATTAGCTATGACCATCATCATCTTCACCCTTGTTAAAGTCATGAGAACCACCTTCACCTTCCTCATCGTCTACAGCAGAGAGAGAGAGAGAAAGGACTGATGTGAACTGCAACAGTCTATGATATCACTTCTTTAATAAACACTATTTTGATGTTCACATTATCGCAACACATGGCCATAAACAAAGACGCACGCTGCTGATGCTGCTGTTGGTGCTGTTATGAGCCGATAGCGCTGGACTGATCCATTTCCTGTCTGATGCCACAGGAAGACACCACAGCCAGAAGAGCCTTAATAACATCTCTAGGAAACAGATACTGATACACAGAAACACACACCAACATTGATGTAGTACGTTGTCTATATGAACTCAAGAAACAATGAAGTGCCGATGAGAGAAGTGAAACCAGTCCAAACACCCAATAACACCAGCACAGGACTTTATGTATCAACAGGTGAGCAGACTGAACAGACCAAAGGCTATTGGCATTTTAAAATGTACTCTTATATTTGGGGGACTAAATAACTATATCATTATATGAGTCTGACATTTTACAACTGCCTGTTAAAGAAAAGTATCCCATGAATGGAATCACTGGAAATATTACCGATGATGCTACAACTACTGTAAAGGAATATTTCAATTGTGGAAAATAGTCTTCTTGTTCTTGATGAGAGTTAGATGAGAAGATCAATAACACTCTTAATGTTTGTGCGTTAGGTATGGAGCTGAAGATAGGAGGCAGTTAGTTCAAGCTAGCATAAAGACTGGGAGCGGGGGGGGAAACAGCTAGCATGGCTCCATCCAAAGTTCACAAATATGCCAACGTACACATCGAAAGCTCATTTATTAACACATGGTGTCCCATTTGTTTATTCCATTCATAAAAAGAAATGTAAAAACGACAAGTTGTTGTTTTAAGAGCAGTTATGTAGGAAACTATAACCATCCAACGCTAGCTAAGCTAGGCTACAGCAAGCTAATCGACTCCCAGCTCTCGCTCCACACAGATATGAATGTGGTACAGAATCAATCTTCTCATCTTATTCTCAGCACGAAAGCAGATGAGCGTATTTCCCAAAATGAATCGTCCTAAATAACAGTCGAAGGACAGTTTCACGGCTAAGTATCAAGTTCAAGGTCAGAGGGTCAGGGGTCAAAAGGACTGACCTGCGCCCACTTCCAAAGCTGGTTCCCCATGGTGACATCATCCGCTTCATCTACGAGGATGGAGGGATGATGGGGAAAGGAGAAGGAGGGGGGGAAGAGAGACAGATTTGAAAAGAGAAGAGTGAATCAAGAAGACAAGGTGAGAGAATTATAGATGAGAGGGTGAGTATGGGACACATAAATACAGAGCAAAGGGGGAGGGAAAGAAGGCAAGGTCTGAGGAAGACGGTGAGAAAACACAAGAGACAGGGACAAACATGGGGGGAGGGAAGGGGGTCAAAGAGAGGGGTTGTGGGAAAGAGCAGCATGAGAGGAAAGAAGAGTCAGTTAGATAAACAGACGAATATTAGGAGGACGAGAGAGAAAACAGACTTACAGTAAACACTGAGGCCTTCCTGTGTGAAGCAGTGGTGTGGTTGCCAACTAAAGTCTTTGCATGTAAAACTATACATTTTTGAGTCAATACAGTATCACAAAATATAACATCGCGAAACGCAAGTATGTAGATATTTTTTTACAAAAATAATGTAGAGTATATCCCACAGTTTACATTACATCCATTGATTCAGATGAATGTTACATATCTGATCTCATATGTCTGAAAAGAGCTTTAGAAACAGGCTCACAGTCGATATTACACAAGTTACAGCGGTAACTAAGCAGTAAAACATAATATTACAGTGCAACATGTTGGAGAGGGTGTGGAGACCTTATAAACATGCAGAGACTCTTTTCTCATAACATTGAAACAATATTTCACAATCCAGCAAAGACATTAAACGAGCTGGAGCTCCCTCTTCACTTTACATTCTCACGTACGCAAGTAACATTGTTTTGTAGATCTGAACTTGTCATTTGACATAATGCTAAACCACAACAGCAATCTTGGGTCCTTGATTACTTATTGTTCTGGCTATTTCAACTAGTGTTTTCTTTCAGGCCACTTATACATTATATACTTTTTTCCACTTTGCATTGTTCCATGACATCTTGCCAGCAGCTGTTCAATAACAGTTTAATTTCGTAAACTTCTGCTATGTTGCACTACACTTTGAGGCACATTAGGAAGTTACCAAGGTTGCATCTGTGCATGAGAGTCTGTGTGTGTCCCGCTCATTATGTAACATGGATTAGCACGTAGAGGTACTCTGAGCAGTAGGGGTTCAGCCTTTATTAGGCACATGAAATAACCTCATTAACACCCACACAGAGTGAGCACGCATACCAAACACACACACACACACACACACACCGGTCCATGATACCCAGTACCATGTAGTATTGAAACTTCTCCAGTCAAACCATACCTGCATTTTATCTTTTTTGTACCCAGATCTAGAAAAAAATGATTGTTTTTCTCGCAGCCAATCACCACAAGCGCTCTTCGATGTAATACAAGGTTTGATTGGCCCACTACAGCAGCAGCTACAACAGTCTTTGATGCGGTGAAGTCCAGCGCTGTGTATTTGACGGATTGGCAGTTCAGCGTGTCGAGATGCCACCAAAACATTTGAAAATATTGCTATTCTACACAAAAATGAATGCTGTGGCGTCGGCATTTTACACGACTGAACGCTTCCATTCACATGGGTATCGATTGAAGTACTATATTGGCATTGGCATCACTTTAAGGGTCCTGGTACTGGTATTGATAATCTCACGATACCCAGCCCTACTGGACAGAACCACGTCCGGGTCTACCGTGATCTAGCAACACTACTGACTAGCAGGGGGAAAAGTAGATATTCAGAAAAACCTGAATGTTGGGTAGAAATGAACGCTGAGCTCTTTTGTCACAGATGACTATAACTTGACTTTGTCCACTGGGTTCCTCTCCTTCTGACGTAGAACAAATCTAATCTAGTCCAGCCTTAATCCCTCAATGGAACCAGTCACCACAGGCTTACGGTGCAGACTAATTGGCTCTTTTCAGCTAAGACATACAGATGTCTGACATGATGGCTGACTGCGGCGACAATGAAGATCCCCCCCCAATGGCATACAATCAAAAAAATAAGCTTCTAATATTGTTAACAAACCCATTCATGATGATCTGAAATGATTTATCTGCCTACAGGCATGTATCTTCGGATGCTGAAAGGGTTAATCAAATCTGGTAACATAGAGGCTTCTATAGTAAATCCTATATTGGACTTTGAGCTTTTACAACACAAATCCACTCCACTCCAGTGCTAATCCTTCTGTTCCACTTGCACTAAATTAGGCTTATATGGACCGCACTACATTACTACAGCAATTAGGGAGCGCAGAGTATTTACACTGAATCAGCAGCAGAGGCAGAGCTTAGAAAAGTAGCCTAGTGTGTACGGCAGCTTTTAACACAGATATTTGGACGCTGCCGAGTAAAACCCCTTAAGCGCCGACGTCCATCGCTGCAGAGTTTCAGTGGTCGTAACTGGGACCAGTTCAAGAAATGTTTAATGCTTTCTCCCTGAGATAACGTGATTATGTTACAGTAACGATTTCCCAGTAGATTTCCTTTAGCTGTGAGGATGTACACAGTAAAAACAGAGCTAAACCTGTCATGGGAGAGCTGTTAGAGCCGAAGTATAGCGTACACTGCTTATGAATGAAATTCTGTTCTCTGTCACACAATCCATCCCTTGAAGCAGGGCTACTTATTCACATGCCATCAGTGTGGGTTTTCTGAATCTGTAGTATTATCAAGAACATCTATTTTTAATTCATGATGCCCTGAGAACAACACACGGGTAAAAACTCTGAAAAGATCGGGATGTTCGAGGTGAAGATCCCTGTGATGGGTCTCGTGTGGACAATTTAAACACTGGCTACAATATTCAGTCTGTTATTTCAATAGCAACGAGCACCATCAATACATCACTGCGAGGAATCCGTAGGGAAACCCCACAAAGACCAGTCAAAGACCTATTTTTAGGTGCTTGGCCAGAGAGCTTAAGAATATGTTCCCCATGCAAAAAAACAAGCCCTGGACTTGAGTCCTGGCAGAGTGAGCGGAGATGAGAGGCCGAGCCGAGGCGGTGCAGATGAATTGGCCGCGGTAATAAGATGTTAGTGGGTCTGTGACGGGCCGCAAGCCTTCAATTTCCACGGAGAGAACGAAAGAGGAGAAGGATTTCTCCTGTCAGCTGAAACAATGAACTTGGCTGACTGAGCTGAACCACTGGGTACAGACATAGCTATAGAGACAAGACATGTTACAGACATAAGCATAAGCAGTATGCATGTCAACTTAGAGAGTATATACCATGCAGTATGCAATTTAAAGACGTGTCCATTTTAAACATTTCAATTTGCCATTTTCACATGTGTAAAACAACCCGAGATTGTGTTGACATGCTGGAATAACAGGGACACTTTACAGAGAATTATTTTAGACATAATAGATACGAATGAGTCTGATCTCATCTCCAATCTCTCACTTTTCTTTACTGTGCACATGCTAAGAATCATGCTAGGATCAGAACACCTTCATTAGACAGTCCCTTTGCTTCAAATGAAGAACTGGACAAAAGCTTTCCTGAGAACAGATGGAATGAATTTCAGCAAATACATTGTTTTTTTAAGTAACTGGATACCCAAAATGCAATTGCAATAACCTAATGAATAACAGCCTGAGCATTTTCTATAGTAAAATAAGACTTGTTTTGATCATGAGCAAAATCAGATGTAGAATGACAATTCAAATCATCCTAAACTAATCAAGTAACCTGAGCTGATTCATGTTCAAACCTCAGATGCAAATTTGGCTATAAGACAATGGAAGCCAGTGACATTAAACTGAAATGTTCTTGACTATTTTCGGTGCTCCAATGAGGCAGTGAAGCGTCAACCAATATGTTTTCGTTTCACCCTGTTCGTTCCGTCTAAAAGAATGCCTAAGTCAGTTTCTATTGCTAGGCCTATTTACCGACAAAACTACGTCAACGAGCACTTGAGCAACACTTCAACAGCGAATCGGCGACAATGTAGCTGACCATGCTTGGCCGTTTTGGTACTTTTTTTCGCTCAAAGTGTGAACATAGGCTCACTTATTACCACTTATTTTGTGTAATCTGTCCAAAAAACGAAATGTAAAATCAATGGTGTTATGGAGAGTTACGTGCTGGCACTATTTCTTGACTGGGCCAATGACTTCCTAGAGTTTTGCTGTCAGTCCAGTCTTTGTGCTAAGCTAAGCTGCTGGCTCTAGCTACATATTCAGCGTAGAGGCATGACAGATGTCATCAATAATCTCATTTAAGTCTTGGCAAGAAAGCAAATATGTCAAACGGTCATCAAATTACGACGTAAAGTAGCCTTTCCTGGATCTGGTTCAATCTGGAATGGTTTATTGAACGCTATGCAAGGTCCAGACTGGCTGTTTCCTCCTGCCATCTTGTCACATGTCCCTCTGCATGTTATCTAATAAAACATTAATTGGGAACAGCATGTGAAAAGGGCAGCAGCCACATCCTTCACTCTCTTATTACTCTCTCCCCAGATGTTAAAAAGCTTTTACACAAGTTTTGTTATTGTCTAACCCATCTCCATTACTTGAGCCAGAGGACCATATAAGGATATCAGAAATATATAAAGAATGGGGCCAGATAACAGCTCCACACCAACACGTCTTTGTTCCCCCCTCCCCTCTTTGTCTCTTCATTCTGTTTCCTCCGGTGTTATTATCTCACCATCCCTCCTCTCTCTTTCTTTGTCTGTTCCTCTGTCTCTCGTCCAACCGCACATGCCTCGTTGGGAACATGGCCTTTAAAACCGCGGTATTTCCCCTTGACCCATTCAACGCCTGCATAGTCAGCAGGAGACGGTGACTAGGGAGGAAATTATTCATAAAATTTCAGTCTTGTGCTCCGAAGAATGTCACCGTTGCTTTGACCTTCCAATGGATTTAAATGCAAAAAAGATTTGAGAAAGTAGCGGCAGTCAGTAGTATTAGTAGCAAGAGTTAGTGCTCAAGACTTCCCAAGTATGTTATTATAACTGCATGGGTCAGAACAGATAATACTGCTGATATCATTACACAAACATCAAAATAAAAGATATGTTCATTCCTGTTCTGGGATAATCCACATTTTGAATGAAAACTTTGCATTGACGCAAAAAGGTTTATCTGACCTAAAGAAAAAAAAAAAATTCTCCCATCGAAAATATGTGTCTGTTTCTTCTCCTCTAAACTGGACAGGACCTAAATGAACTTCGGAACTGCGTCACGTCAAAGTCAGCTTCAGATTTCATTGTAAATACCATTATTGTCCTTTTACCCCCTGTGGTTTGATTACAATACATGAACTATTCTTTTGGGTTTCTCTTGTCTTCCAGCTCTCCTCTACTCTGCCACATTCTCTCCTCCATCTCCTCCTGTCTGTGCTCTTAGCAACACGCCTTAAATGGACTCGACACAGAAACTGACCAAACACTCTCATCAGTCACTCTGCTCAGTCTACATTCATTTACAGCTGCATCACCGTTCCTGCTGAACAAACTCAACCTACTGCTGTTACATAATGACTGTTGGACCAGGGAAAGACTGGGAAAGATGAGACCTGGTGAGAAAGTGAGAACACGCACTTGTCCTCAGCTTCAAGACTGTCATCTGCTTTCACTGCAGAGCTCAATGCCACCGGTGGGCCGAACCTAAATCTGCCTGATGTATGCCAAAACTAGATTAAGATACTAAAATACTAAAGGGTAAAACCGGCTTTTGCTCTGCTCTCTATGGATTGAAATATTCAAGCATGTAACATGTTGCATCACGGGTTATGGCCAATTAAGCGTTTGCGAAACTGTTTATTCACTGTTGTTTTACCTGTCAAGCTTTCCAGTCTCCTTCTTCCAGCTGACGGGTTTTGAAAGTCGGCCTTAGATTTATGCCTTATTGTTCATATTTTGAATCAGTTTGTTTCACATGTAATGAAACAATATGAGAACTTTAAGAGTGAGGCGTCACCAATGCGTTTGGAAAACAATAATGCTATCTCACTGGGATTGCTGCTGAGATTACCGCGCTCAAGCGAAAGAGGAGATCTTCACCACTTCCAAAATGGACATTTTCTGAGGCTTTTATTTGTTTGCAATTTTTGAAAACAATGTAGAAATCATTAACATTTCTTTAAAACGTAACGGGGAAACACCAATTATTCTGTATTAAGTTTCAATAGTGTTCTTAGGATTTAAAGGAGTAATTCATCCAAAAACAATATAAATTGTATATAGTAGGCTACTTGCCTCCATAAGCTCTTTATGGTCACAGTAAACGTTTTCTATCAAATGGCATTAAGGTGAGCGGAGCACCGCAATAAAATGAAAGCATATCAGTGCAAACAAACTTTGAAGGCGCTACTCTTCCACTAAACAAAGCAGGAATTTATTGTGCGCATGCATGCATTTATCGGATATTCTGAAAATGCTTCGTTTAGGAATAGTTTAGCGAAAACGGTTGTGTTTCCATGAACCCACGAATGCATACAAGACACTTTGATAGTGCTGCACATGAATATTCTGAGTTATTTTTGGACAATTTATAACCTTTATTGTTATCTTTCTTTCAGCCTCTTTCGAGTACTTCAGAGAGATCCTAGAAGCCGAGTACTATATACAAGTTATATTGATTTTGGTTTAAGTATTCTTTTTAACCACTGTGTCAAACTTGCTGAAAATACGACTTCATTAGTTCAGTTTGAAGGCACCATCAGTCTTGCGTACTGACAGTTCGTAGTAAGAAGTAATTTGAGTTCATCTTTGTTTCAGTATTGAGTGAATTCCAGGAGAACACAATTGTGGTTCTTGAGTTGGATCTGTGTGTAGCTGTCTTGCAGCTCATCCCGACTCCTAATTCACTTTCTCCCCGTGTCACACACACACAAACAAAATGTTTGTCTAAGTCAACTCGGCTGAGTGGGCCATAAAAGCTTCTATTGTTGTCATGTCATGAGACTGAGAGGCCCAAGACAAAGAAAGTGGAAAGGGGGTATCAGTGCACCCAACACCACATCTCCACAGCTTTGCTACAAATTAAGTTACTTTACTACAGTCAAAAAGCTAGAGGCCCTCATTATCCTAACCCTCTGTGGTCCAATCACACTGCCAGGCCCAGGCCTATATATAGCAAGTCAAAGCATACAAATCACTCAGGACTCCTTTCAACTATAAAAGAAAACATGCACTCAAAATGGAATAAGGAAGAAGTCTAACGTACCCACAGCTATCAAGTATCAAGCCATCAGTTGAGCAACAATATGACTGATCACGCATCAGAGACAACTTACGGGAGATAATGTTCATCGACCTGATTCTCTTGCATAAAAACAAAAGCAAGTCTAGTCCTAGGATTTTCTGACTAGTCACTCACTTCCAGTGTAAAATCCCTCTCTGAGCTCTGAGTCATACAGCTGGCTGTCAGCGCCGACTAGAAGCCATCAATTGTTTCAATAAACAAAGAGAAACAAAAGTTCGATGAGACAGCTGCAACAAAAGACAGTGTCAACTCTGGGGGGGGAAAAAACATGCTCTAAGAAAAGATTTGTAATTTCTGTCAGCAGTTGGATTTGTGCTGTGGTCAGCACATTTGGCTCTTCAGTACAAGATATGTCCACTTGTGAAATAACACCTGTTGTGCTGTTAAGTATTACAAGTAGTCCATGGCCTCTATTACGAAAAATGGCAAATCCCTTCCAAGAGCCAACTGACACTCACATCCTGTGACACAGAGCTTTAATAACGTGAGTAATGTTGTGTTGTCAGGTGTGTCAAAACAAGAGTTTGAAATATTTAGGAGATACATTTTGACTGAGCTATTGTCTGTTGGTGCAACAGAACTGAGCATCACAATATTGCTTCATTATAATCATTTACCAGCAATACATGCAGTTGAAAGTACAATGACATTACAAAAATAAAACTTACTCTCTGCTCTTGAAGCATCCATACATCCCAGCCATGTTGTAAAAATGTAAAAGATTTCCCAAAACAAAATACTTCTTTCTCCCTCTTTGCACAAATAAAAGATTTTTTTTCCTCCCTGGTTTGTCCACAAATAGACAAACCTCAACTCCAACACCTTGTGCTGTTGTCTCGCATCAGACCCCTCGCATCAGACTTCCCTCTCTTTGCAACAGAGAAGATGCAACTCCACGAGAGAAGACAGCTCACTCATCCAAGTCAAACCATCTTCTGAGGTTCCTCCCCCTTTTGAGGTGCGCTACAGTCCGATCTCGCACAGAGCTCCCTTCTCCAAACTTCAGAGGCACAACAGCAAGTCAATCCTAACCATACAACCGCAGCCAAAGTGGGATTATACCGGGATCAGAATATCACACAAGAAGCACAGAATTATGACAGGGAAGTTTGCAAAACTGGAATCTCCTTTTCAAATGAATCAGGAATGTCCTGAAGAAGGCTTTTCCTGGAGAATCACGTCTCACAGAAGTGCAGAACAAATCCTTGTAGTGGTTCAACACAGCAGTGAGCTATAGGAGAACAATTGACTAAATGAGTGACTGAGTTGCTGCTTCATGCCTCACTCCTCTCCTCCCGGTCGCCACGGCTGGAAATGCAGCAGAGGGAAGGCTGGAAGAGGGAGGAGGAGAGAGAGGGTGGAATGAGGGAGGAGGCAAAGTGGGAGCAAGAGACTGCCCCCCATGACCTTATCCTCCTTCTTTGTCTCTCGACTGCTCAGTGATGTACAAAATCATTTACTCTGTAAACGGTCCAATGCCATGATTTTATTTAGTGATGAATAACTGGGTTTAAACATATGCATCAATTATTGTAAACTGTGCTAGTAGTGCGTGCATGCGTGCGTGCATCTGCGCAGGTTGCGCCGTGAGTGAGTGTGCATCTCTGTGTCTGTCCACTGCTAACCTCCCGTTCTTCTGAAAGAAAACGGCGTAATATTGTGGGTGGCCAGTTATGGCTGCATGCTAAAAGACCTCTTGTGGTTGCCGTAACTCAGACTTTCTCAAAACACTTTTTATTTCATGTTTCATACTGCCTTTGACTGCCTGCTGACTCCTCACTCGCTACTATTAATAAGCCCGGCCAGCAGGGGCCGCTAGTGATAAAACTGCTGAGTTTCATGGCCCTCAACTTTTAACGCTATTGTTTTGAATCAATCTCTCGGCTCTCATAGCATTGTTTCCAGCGGCAGCACAGCAGCTGCTTTCAATGAGAAAAACTGTGACAAACCCACTGTAAGCTACTCGCTGAGCACCAAGCAGCAGACAGACAAAGTTAGCGTTGTTAGCTGGTGAACATAGTGGAACATTTAGCTGCTATTGAGCCAGATATTCCCTCTGGGCTTAGTGAAGAGCAAAACAGAGCTAAAAGGAGAGTGAATATTGGACTTATATTTGTGAGGGACAAATTGGATTGAATTGGTCTACATTCAGTATAGACTTTCCTGGTACACTGTGTTGTTCTACTTTCACATAATGGATTTGCATTGCCAAAATCAATCAATGTACAGCACTTAGTGATGACAGCATGGAGTTTTATCAATTGACAGATGCTTGTGACAGGACCTTTATAATGGAGGTTGTAGTTTGTGCCAAAAAATGAAGGCTGAAAAGAAGTAGAACGAAAAGTTTCTCTCAGATCCGATCGCCCCTTACTGTATGTTAAGCTATAAAAAGTGTTCATCTTGTCTGAGGTAACTTCACACTGAATCGGCCAACGCTTTTATGTCACTGCCCATCAAATGCTCACGCAAAAACAGAGCCTCGTGTTAATCGTTCTATCCGTCTCTAGCAGTCGCGCATTAGCCTGTCGCAGTTAATCACTATAAGTGTGGAGCTGATATACCTACAACCACTACAGCTCCCAGTGCTTATGCATGTGTGGCTGCCAGGTGACATGAGGGTTGATCCAGAGAGACTCCCTGCTGCTAAAACCTCTCAGACACACACACACACAATCGAGAGCATGAGTCAATTTTAGCTATCTGGCCTTTTTTTTGTTGTTTTTAAATCATCACCCATGACAAGGGGCACCTTTACACGGTTCAATAGTCTGGATTACTGAGGTATCAAGGCAAAGTTTAAAGATTTACTTCCTCCAAAAAATTGCCATCCAATAGCACCTTTGAACTGAATCTTAAACTTAAGAGTAGCATCTTAGTGCTGAGGCGGCTGCATGAAACCTGGCCTGAAAAAGTGACAAAAACATCCAAATCCCATTAATCATCAGACCACTCACAGAGGAGTGGTGATACTGGGGTGAATTTCTCAATCCCAACGTGCCCAGACTGACCCCTGTGTGTGTGATTCATTCCAAACACGTTGAAATTGATATCAGCTGTCCAAGTCACCAGAGCGTGTGTGTGTGTGTGTGTGT